CTGCAGTATCTGGATGGGGTGTGGTTCCCTCCAGTATATGGAAGGGATGTGGTCCCCTGCAGTATCTGGAAGGGAGAAGGGCTGTGGTCCCTTGAAGTATCATAGGTACAACATCTGCTAATTCGTGCAGGTTCGGAGGGAGAACAGGACCGCATGGTCATAGGAGGAGCCCGCTATGTGGTCCTCTGTAGTATCTGGAAAGGCTGTGGTCCCCTGTAGTATCTGGCAGGGCTGTGGTCCCCAGCAGTATCTGGAAGGACTGTGGTCCCCTGGAGCATCTGGAATGGCTGTGGTCCCTTGCAATCTTTGGAAGGGGTGTGGTTCCCTGCAGTATATTGAAGGGCTGTGGCCCCCTGCAGTATCTGGAAGTATCTGGAAGGGATCTGGTCCCCTGCAGTAACTGGAAGTGCTGTGGTTCCTTGCAGTATCTGGGAGGGCTGGGGGCCCTTGCAGGATCTGGTAGGGGTGGGGGCCCCTTGCAGTATCTGGCAGGGATGTGGTCCCCTTGCAGAATCTGGTAGGGCTGTGGTCCCCTTGCGGAACTTGAAGGGCTGGGGTCCCCTGCAGTATATTGAAGGGCTGTGGCCCCCAGTAGTATCTGGAGGGGCTGTGGTCCCTTGCAATCTTTGGAAGGGGTGTGGTACCCTGCAGTATTTGGAAGGGCTGGGGTCCCTTTCAGTATCTGGTAGGGATGAAGGGATGTGGTCCTCAGTAGTATCTGGAAAGGATGTGGTCCCCTGGAGAATCTGGTATGGCTGTGGTCCCCTGAAGTATCTGGTATGGCTGTGGTCCCCTGCACTATCTGGAAAGGATGTGGTACCCTGCAGTATTTGGAAGGGCTGGGGTCCCCTGCAGTATATTGAAGGGGTGTGGTCCCCTGGAGAATCTGGTATGGCTGTGGTGCCTTGCAGTATCTGGGAGGGATGTGGTCCCCAGGAGTATCTGGGGGGGCTGTGGTCCCTTGAAGTATCATAGGTACAACATCTGCTAATTCGTGCAGGTTCGGAGGGAGAACAGGACCGCATGGTCATAGGAGGAGACTGCTATGTGGTCCTCTGTAGTATCTGGAAAGGCTGTGATCCCTTGCAGTATTTGGTAGGGCTGTGGTCCCCTTGCAGTATCTGGAAGGGATGTGGTCCCCTTGAGTACCTGGAAGGGCTGTGGTCCCCTGGAGTATCTGGTATGGCTGTGGTCCCTTGCAGTATCTGGTAGGGCTGGGGTCCCTTGCAGTATCTGGTAGGGATGTGGTCCCATGGAGTACCTGGTAGGGCTGTGGTCCCTGCAGTATCTGGAAAGGCTGTGATCCCTTGCAGTATTTGGTAGGGCTGGGGTCCCTTGCAGTATCTGGTAGGGATGTGGTCCCATGGAGTACCTGGAAGGGCTGTGGTCCCTGCAGTATCTGGAAAGGCTGTGATCCCTTGCAGTATCTGAAAGTGCTGTGGTTCCTTGCAGTATCTGGTAGGGATGTGGTCCCCTGCAGTATATTGAAGGGCTGTGATCCCCTGCAGTATCTGGAAGGGCTGTGGTCCCCTGCAGTATATTGAAGGGCTGTAGTCCCCTGCAGTATCTGGAAGTGCTGTGGTTCCCTGCAGTATCTGGATGGGGTGTGGTTCCCTGCAGTATATGGAAGGGATGTGGTCCCCTGCAGTATCTGGAAGGGCTGTGGTCCCCTGCAGTATCTGGTAGGGCTGTGGTCCCTTGAAGTATCTGGTAGGGCTGTGGTCCCCTGGAGTACCTGGAAGGGCTGTGGTCCCTGCAGTATCTGGAAAGGCTGTGATCCCTTGCAGTATTTGGTAGGGCTGTGGTCCTTTGAAGTATCTGGTAGGGCTGTGGTCCCTTGCGGTATCCGGCAGGGTTGTGGTCCCTTGCAGTTTCTTGTAGGGATGTTGTCCCCTGCAGTATCTAGTATCTGGAAGGGCTGTGGTCCCCAGGAGTATCTGGAAAGGATGTGGTCCCCTGCAGTATCTGGAAGGGATGTGGTCCCCTGGAGTACCTGGAAGGGCTGTGGGCCCCTTGCAGTATCTGGAAGGGATGTGGTCCCCAGTAGTATCTGGAAGGGATGTGGTCCCTTGCAGTATCTGGTAGGGATGTGGTCCCTTGCAGTATCTGGAAGGGCTGTGGTCCCCTGTAGTATCTGGAAGGGGTGTGGTCCCTTGCAGTATCTGGAAGGGTTGTGGTCCCTTGCAGTATCTGGAAGGGATGTGGTCCCTTGCAGTATCTGGTAGGGCTGGGGGCCCTTGCAGTATCTGGTAGGGCTGTGGTCCATTGCAGTATCTGGTAGGGCTGTGGTCCATTGCAGTATCTGGTAGGGCTGTGGTCCCTTGCGGTATCCGGCAGGGTTGTGGTCCCTTGCAGTTTCTTGTAGGGATGTTGTCCCCTGCAGTATCTGGTAGGGCTGTGGTCCCATGGAGTACCTGGAAGGGCTGTGGTCCCTGCAGTATCTGGAAAGGCTGTGATCCCTTGCAGTATTTGGTAGGGCTGTGGTCCCTTGAAGTATCTGGTAGGGCTGTGGTCCCTTGCAGTATCCGGCAGGGTTGTGGTCCCTTGCAGTTTCTGGTAGGGATGTTGTCCCCTGCAGTATCTGGTAGGGCTGTGTCCCTTGCAGTATCTGGTAGGGCTGTGGTCCCCTGCAGTATCTGGTAGGGCTGTGGTCCCTTGCAGTATCTGGTAGGTCTGTGGTCCCCTGCAGTATCTGGTAGGGCTGTGGTCCCTTGCAGGATCTGGTAGGGCTGTGGTCCCCTGCAGTATCTGGTAGGGCTGTGGTCCATTGCAGTATCTTGTAGGGCTGTGGTCCCCTGCAGTATATGGTAGGGGTGTGGTCCCCTGCAGTATCTGGTAGGGCTGTGTCCCTTGCAGTATCTGGTAGGGCTGTGGTCCCCTGCAGTATATGGTAGGGGTGTGGGCCCCTGCAGTATCTGGTAGGGCTGTGTCCCTTGCAGTATCTGGTAGGGCTGTGGTCCCTTGCAGTATCTGGTCGGGCTATGGTCCATTGCAGTATCTGGTAGGGCTGTGGTCCCCTGCAGTATATGGTAGGGTTGTGGTCCCCTGCAGTATCTGGTAGGGCTGTGTCCCTTGCAGTATCTGGTAGGGATGTGGTCCCTTGCAGTATCTGGTAGGGCTGTGGTCCCTTGAAGTATCTGGTAGGGCTGTGGTCCCTTGCAGTATCTGGTAGGGATGTGGTCCCTTGCAGTATTTGGAAGGGCTGTGGTTCCCTGCAGTATCTGGAAAGGCTGTGGTCCCTTGTAGTATCTTGAAGGGATGTGTTCCCCTGTAGTATATGGAAGGCTGTGGTCGTCCCTTGCAGTATCTGGAAGGGATGTGGTCCCCTGCAGTATCTGGATGGGGTGTGGTTCCCTGCAGTATCTGGAAGGGCTGTGGTTCCTTGCAGTATCTGATAGGGCTGTGGTCCCCTGGAGTACCTGGAAGGGCTGTGGTCCCTGCAGTATCTGGAAAGGCTGTGATCCTTTTCAGTATTTTGTAGGGCTGTGGTCCCTTGCAGTATCTGGTAGGGCTGTGGTCCCTTGAAGTATCTGGTAGGGCTGTGGTCCCTTGCAGTATCTGGTAAGGCTGTGGTCCCTTGCAGTATCTGTTAGGGATGTGGTTCCTTGCAGTATATGGTAGGGCTGTGTCCCTTGCAGTATCTGGTAGGGCTGTGATCCCTTGCAGTATCTGGTAGGGCTGTGGTCCCTTGCAGTATCTGGTAAGGCTGTGGTCCCTTGCAGTATCTGGTAGGGATGTGGTCCCTTGCAGTATCTGGTAGGGCTGTGGTCCCTTGCAGCATCTGGTAGGGCTGTGGTTCCCTGTAGTATCTTGAAAGGCTGTGGACCCTTGTAGTATCTGGAAGGGCTGTGGTCCCCTGCAGTATCTGGAAAGGCTGTGGTCCCTTGTAGTATCTTGAAGGGATGTGTTCCCCTGTAGTATATGGAAGGCTGTGGTCCGTTGCAGTATCTGGATGGGCTGTGGTCCCCTGGAGTACCTGGAAGGGCTGTGTTCCCTGCAGTATCTGGAAAGGCTGTGATCCCTTGCAGTATTTTGTAGGGCTGTGGTTCCTTGCAGTATCTGGTAGGGCTGTGGTCCCTTGCAGTATCTGGTAGGGATGTGGTCCCGTGCAGTATCTGGTAGGGCTGTGTCCCTTGCAGTATCTGGTAGGGCTGTGGTCCCTTGCAGTATCTGGTAGGGCTGTGATCCCTTGCAGTATCTGGTAGGGCTGTGATCCCTTGCAGTATATGGTAGGGCTGTGGTCCCTTGCAGTATCTGGTAGGGCTGTGGTCCCTTGAAGTATCTGGTAGGGCTGTGGTCCCTTGCAGTATCTGGTAAGGCTGTGGTCCCTTGCAGTATCTGGTAGGGCTGTGGTCCCTTGCAGTATCTGGTAGGGCTATGAACACAACAGCACATGTCAGGCGACAAAGTGTAAACCCTTTTCCTTGGTGTCTCTTATACCCAGCACTCATTCACTACAATGGTTCGTCTTGCACTGCCAGGCCACGATCTCACAAACCAAGCCTAATATATAGGATGACCATAATCAACTCTGGCAATAAAGTAGAAAAATATCAAGATAGCGTATTTCTTATTGTTGTATTGCAGTGTCTGATATACTTAGACACCCTTTGTTTTAAATCGTCGGTGACCCAGCTATTCAAAGTTATAGGTGACCGTGGTGCAATAATACAGGTCCTTTTTGGATCACATTGTTTGGTCTGCGGCTTCTGTTATTCCTGATGTCTTTCGTTTTCTTTTGCTATTTACACAGTCCGCTTATAATTTTTGTTCTTGTGTGTTTACGATGTGAATATAATGTATTTATTTTCGCTTTACTACGGTGGTGCATTTAGGACATGCCCAATACTATCCTCTGCATTGCGTTTCTCGAACGCTCAACATCTTCTCTCTCGGGTTCGATTTATTATCTCTTAAATGTCCCATCGTATTTAACAGATTTTGTTAAAAAAATATTTTTTTAAATAACATTTTTGTGAACGTATTTTGGTCTTTTTCAGATTTCGACAATTATGAATTACTACGAAAGCTTGCATTTGACTCGACTCTACAATCATTACTGTTGACATCCGGGACACCAGATGAAGATGAGGCACGTGACAGGGACATTAAATCAACCTCGTTTACGAATGACGAACTCCAATCAGATCATACTGGTAAATCACGTGACTATTTGAAACTAGACATCGACACGGAGGACTACCCCAGGTTCTCTAACTTCGAGAAACGAGGGGTCGGCAAGTGCATCTACAACTGTCTGAGGGGGCGTGGCCAGATGAACTTTATCCAATGCAAAAGCATGTGTCACTGGTATGTATGATCAATAAGGCATTCACCCCTGAAGACACAATAAACTCTTCCATCCTTTGAATTGGAAGACGTCAAATGTGTCTTCAGGGGTGATCGAGTTAACAACATAACCATTGTATCACTGTTTCATCATGTAAACTGACCAAAGAACGTAACAAATTTCCAAAGGCGTCAACAACCATGATGTTGACGGAGGTGTGCAAATTTTCCGTGAACGAGACATAATTGTGTGACATCATCAACAGTAGATGTAGCAGGGGTTTACGGAGGCTTATGCAAATTTTAGGCAGTATATAGAACCAATCACACGTTATTTAAGTTTCGAAAATGAAATTTGTTTCTGATGATCACATTTATGTCAACCATTCACAGATATTATTGTAAATATAAAGAAAAAAAATGGTTAGGTTATAAGCTGATAACTCCAGTTGAGCACGAGTAAATAAAATAGGTGACCTTAGAGTATTACCAAACCAAAACAGAAAGCTATTCCTTAAATATAAAGTATTTATCGGACTATGAAATAAGTATATTGAAAAACTTATAAGTCATCTTCGTTATTCAAATATTCTACTATCGATACACATATATCTTTAGTTAACCCTTGTAATTTGTCATGACAAATTGAAGATTTTGAATTGGCCACCTGGCGGATGATACAAGTATATAAGTTTTATTTTGTATCGCTATTGAAGGAATCACGTTGCAGCGTAACGGGCCCGGTTTTCAAGTCGGGTCGCGCTCTTCTGTAATCTTTAAAAGACAGATATCATCTTAGCTTTTCGTCAGTTACTATACCTGTATTCAATCAAATAGATTAACAGTGTGCATTCGATATGTGCATGACATAATCCAAGGACGTAGTGAGGATATGTTAACAGTAGAAAAACCGTTTAATTTCAAAGTTGCGTAAAATATTTTTCCTATAGTTGTAAAATATCACGATTCGGCCCTTCTGGTGCATATATATCAATTAATCCTATCGACCCTACTTTCGGCTGTGCTAGTTTCGCTATAATGTGTAAAATTAGTAATGGTCTCTCAGTGTCGAATGATCATGTTAATCAATTTAAATTTTCCACTAAATTGTTTAATCTTGAATTTGCTCGAATTCTGCAAATAAAATATATATTTTCTTTTCACAGATTTATGGACGGAATGACTGATAACCTTCTTGCTGTTTCAACGTTATACGGATTTGACCTGTGCAAACAAACAACATGAACTAAATTAGAGATACATATATATAGTTTTGTTGATGGTAAAAAAAAGTTTGGTCAAATGCTTTTATTCTCCAACTCTGTACACTGTAACTTAACGAATAGTTATTACCTGTATTTGAAATTTGATTTGCACTTTCAAAATATGAAATTAAAAATTTAACAGAATAATACATATTTTGTTGGAATTTTCTACAAACTTTAGAGAAAGCATTCTATACACGATATGTAGATTTTAAAAAGAAGAAATACTGTTGATAACTTATATCTTTCTATATGAATCAGGCGGTAAAATATATTATTTCCTGTCCTATCTAAAAAGAATTGTGAACTTTACATAATTTCACTTTAAATATAAGTTATCGTTCATTGTGTAGGAAAATGTAACTTGGTCGATGATTTCCTTTCAGACACGTTCGAGTTCGATTTTTTGCCGGTTTATCTTTAGAATAAGTAGCTTGACAATGAGAAGTAATTGCAAAGGTCTATCGTGCTGATACTTAAACTAGTTGTTCTTCCTTTAACAAGCTTTGTCAATTTCTTTAAGTATCAAAAATTTCAGTGACCGTCGTGTTTTAAATACTTATTCTGAGTCGCCATTCCTTATCAAATAACCAAATCAAGGGATATATTATGTAATTGTTAAATTCACTGAACGAAATGATTAGCATATAAAAATGTACTGTATACAATATCGAATTAGCATGATTTAAAAACAACAACGAACAGTAGTATATATAGAGTTATATTAAGTACAGTGTATATATAAATGCAAATATCCACCAATTAAAATGCGTTTCAGCAGTTGGCGCTAACATAAACATACGGGACATCTTGTAGTGACGTCAATAGCGACTCCTTTGTTACAGGGTGCTAGGCAACGAGTAGGTTGGCACGTAGCCCTATGAGCCGTGGCAACGGTTGTGGTCAGTTCTGCAACAGAAAATAAAAGAGTCGATTTAAAAAAAAACTTTTCAGGAAAAATAAAACAGCGAATCACGTAGTTTATAAATTATGTAGACATAAACTGAGAATATATGTCGACACCTTCCAAGAATATTTCGACATCTATTAGCAAGTACATCGACTTGTGTAAGTCGACTGCAGAAATACATGTACGGCAACATATATCTGAACTGTCCTAAACGACTTTGATATTTTCTTAATATGGCGGCACAGGACGAATAACACACGTTGTTAGCATAATCATGTTTCCTAGGACAAACGATTTGCAGTTAAATGACTTCCAGAGTATCCAGATTTTTGCATACTCATAACCTCTGGTCAAATTACATTCAATCATTCACGGAATGTTCTATTTGTCAGGTGATAAGTAATCGGTCGCCATTTTGTTTCAATTTCAAACAGTTTTATTGATATAAGACAAAAATACTGTGTGACAGGCATCGTCTATTGGCGCCGTATCCAACACAATAACAACGAGTGGTACAGCCACAGACATAATACAACAACATACACACATACACTTGTAAACAAAGTGATATCATCAAATGAATAATTAAATATTAAGAAAGGGAGACAACTACTGAACTCTGTATTCTTTAAATTATTGACCAATGGCAACGTTTTCATAGTGCTGCTCACTTAAACGTTATAAACTTAATCATGTGTCATTATAGCTTACATACGAGGGAGGGTAAAAACCTACTCGATAAGGGAATATTTGCGCTAGCTGTTAAACGTACAAAGTGAGTTAATTCTTTTAGCTTCAATACGATTCATCAGTTTGGAAATTTGTAATATCACAAAAACGATGTACTATTAAATGCGTCACAACGTTTCAAGTACGACCAGGCATTGCCTGACAAAAGGACCAATCAGTCTTGAAACGTTGCGACATGTTTAATAAGTACACTGTTTATATATAACTTTTTTGTTTGTTTGTTTGTTTGTGTTTAACGGCCAATCGACGGCTGTGGTCATTTAGGGCCATGGTGATTTATTTATTTATCTATTTTTTTATAAACAAACATGTGAGGACCGAAGATGATATCACATAAAAATGTTCCTTTTTTTTTATATAACGTAAAACGTTAATAGTACAACGTAAGGTTTCCAATGATGCAGGATGACGAAGACTATATGCAGTGTTTTTATCGCTATCTTTATGTCATTGGGATTTTTTTGATTTTTTTGTATGATATAAAGGTCGATGTATTTGATACTCAATATTGTGAATTGATGTCTCGTTGTTACTACCCCGGTATTTGCTATGAGGACTTCACATTACTGTATATGACCTAGTTTGACATTGCGGGTGTAGGCGATAAAGCAGAAAACGTTTAACCTTCCGGATCACCTGGTCCTATTCTCCATGTACTTTTTCCATGGTCTCAGTGTAAATATTTTCTTTGATCATGTCTTCCCCTGATTTAATCAATTTTATATTCCGAATTACGGTTTCGGCAGACACTTTGGCATTCTCGCTATGTCTAACGTCATATATAGTAGCTTTCCAATCAAACAGTGCTATACAAGTGCTAGTTTTCCTCTCTCTCTTGTTGTGGTTCCAATAGGTTAATACATATCATGCACAAACAAAAACACTATACTAAAGGAAAATTGCAGAAGTGTAAAAACAACTGTAATTCTAGCTTAAAATCAATGCGACTTGGGGAAAATAAGAACAAATGAAAGACATCCCCGAAAAAGTACAAAGCGAATACAATACATTAAGTTTAATCAAATCGGATAAGGTGCGGTATAAAAAGAACCATGTCACCGACAGACCTATGGGCACACACCTGATTCCAATATACCTGTTGATCCTTGACTCTTTGCATATCAAGTTAAGATATATAGGATAACAGCACATACAGTGTTTAGAGTTCGAGTTATCAGAACTTGATATACTGAGATAAAGAGGAGTCAAGAAACAGTTCGGGTTAAATGGGGCCTTCGAATTATAAGAGTTCACGATAACGAAGGTCGACTGTATATCATCATGACTGATTATCAAAATATCCCAAACCGCTTTACTGTATCGTAATATCGTAAAACAAAGACATTCGAAAAGTATGTATACTGACACGAAGGAAATTAATGACAAAAATTAAAAATGATACTTTTAAATACATCTTTTGAACAAAAAATCCTAAAAAGACAGTATGAAATAATTCTACAAACGACCGATTGTTTTTAAGTCCTAAAGGAAAAAATCATCTGTTTGAAATATAATAACACAATGTACCGTGGTGAACGCAAATCTACAATTGATTGACATAAACCACGCCCATACCAAGCAGTGAGTTATGACGACATCTAAAGTATTGAACGTAACACTAACACCACAGGAGAACGTCATACAATGTCGGTGTTAGTGTGCGCATTAACAAATGGATGTATCAGGAGATACCATTAGCGCATCGATTGTCCAGTCATCGCAGATACCGGCGCGAAATATACCGCCCTTCCTTCTGAGGAAAGATTTTCTTTATCCGTTCGGAGCTCCATTGTCGTCTGTGTTGGTCTTCAGTGTGTCACTTCCTTCATATCATATATAAATTCTATTCAGTGAGACGAATGACTCTCTTTGGTGTATTTCACAGTTTCTGGAATATTCTCTCTTTGATGAAAAGTATCTCACAGACGTGGGTGTCTACCGATTGCATCGGAAGGAATTGATTCAACCGTGTCGTTATTACCAGAGCGGCAAAGCACGGAGACCCAATATGTCAAATGGTCAACCCACAAAGACAAATTATACAACAGCGGCAACACTCAGAGGTAGTAACATAGAGTGGTTTATAAACACAGGTACAAAATGGACAGCGTACAGAGACAAAGTGTAACCACTGCGTCAACACATAGCGACAGAAAGTATAGAACAAAGACTATACTCCCGTGTCAGTGATCAAGACGAAATATTCCACGACGCCAACACTCAGAAAAAAAAATACTATACCGCGTCAACACACGGCGACAAAATACTATACAGCGTCAACACACAGAGACAAAATACACTACAGCGTCAACACACAGAGACAAAATACTATACAGCGTCAACACAGAGAGACAAAATACACTACACTGTCAACACACAGAGACAAAATACACTACAGCGACAACACACAGAGACAAAATACTATACAGTGTCAACACAGAGACACAAAATACACTTACAGCGTCAACACACAGAGACAAAATAATCTACAGCGTCAACATACAGAGACAAACTATACTACAGCGTCAACACACAGAGACAAAATATACTACAGCGTCAACACACAGAGACAAAATACTATACAGCGTCAACACACAGAGACAAAATACTATACAGCGTCAACACATAGAGACAAAATAATATACAGCGTCAACACACAGAGACAAAATACTATACCGCGTCAACACACAGAGACAAAATACTATACAGCGTCAACACACAGAGACAAAATACTATACCGCGTCAACACACAGAGACAAAATACTATACAGCGTCAACACAGAGAGACAAAATACACTACACTGTCAACACACAGAGACAAAATACACTACAGTGTCAACCCACAGAGACAAAATACACTACAGCGTCAACTCACAGAGACAAAATACTATACAGCGTCAACACACGGAGACAAACTATCCTACAGCGTCAACACACAGAGACAAAATACTATACGGCGTCAACACACAGAGACAAAATACACTACAGTGTCAACCCACAGAGACAAAATACACTACAGCGTCAACTCACAGAGACAAAATACTATACAGCGTCAACACGCAGAGACAAAATACTATACCGCGTCAACACACAGAGACAAAATACACTACAGTGTCAACCCACAGAGACAAAATACACTACAGCGTCAACTCACAGAGACAAAATACTATACAGCGTCAACACGCAGAGACAAAATACTATACAGCGTCAACACATAGAGACAAAATAACATACAGCGTCAACACACAGAGACAAAATAAACTAAAGCGTCAACATACAGAGACAAAATATACTACAGCGTCAACACACACAAAATACTAAACAGCGTCAACACACAGAGACAAACTATACTACAGCGACAACAAAGAGACACAAAATACACTACAGCGTAAACACACAGACACAAAATAAACTACAGCGTCAACATACAGAGAAAAAATATACTAGAGCGTCAACACACAGAGAAAAAATACACTTCAGCGTCAACACACAGAGACAAAATATTATACAGTGTCAACACACAGAGGCAAAATACACACAGCGTCAACACACAGAGACAAAATACTATACCGTGTCAACACAGAGACACAAAATACACTTACAACGTCAACACACAGAGTCAAAATAAACTACAGCGTCAACACACAGAGACAAAATATTCTACAGCGTCAACACACAGAGACAAACTATACTACAGCGACAACAAAGAGACACAAAATACACTACAGCGTAAACACACAGACACAAAATAAACTACAGCGTCAACATACAGAGAAAAAATATACTAGAGCGTCAACACACAGAGAAAAAATACACTTCAGCGTCAACACACAGAGACAAAATATTATACAGAGACAAAATATACTACAGCGTCAACACACAGAGACAAACCAAACTACAGCGTCAACACACAGAGACAAAATATCCTACAGCGTCAACACACAGAGACAAAATACTATACCGTGTCAACACAGAGACACAAAATACACTTACAGCGTCAACACACAGAGAAAAAATAAACTACAGCGTCAACATACAGAGACAAAATACACTTACAGCGTCAACACACAGACACAAAATAAACTACAGCGTCAACATACAGAGAAAAAATATACTAGAGCGTCAACACACAGAGAAAAAATACACTTCAGCGTCAACACACAGAGACAAAATATTATACAGTGTCAACACACAGAGGCAAAATACACACAGCGTCAACACACAGAGACAAAATACTATCCAGCGTCAA